GCTAGGTCTTGTATACTGTTGGTCTCTTTTGAATGTTCTGCTGTTTGTGCTTCTGGCAGGGTCTTGGATATCCCCGAAGATGGGATCTTGGATGATTCTGACCTGCCTTTCCAGGAAGAGGACAAGGTCCTTAAATTTAGGTCTCTGGTGTGTTCTTTCCGTAATGTCACACACAGTAGACCGCCATGTCTCTCGGAGTTTAAATGGGAGTTTGAAAACAAGTCTTTTCATGTTAGATGGTGAGTCCAACTCTGACATGTATGAGAGGTCCTGAACTGCATTACCACAGCCTTTTAAATAGAGGGCGTAGCTATGAAGTGCCTCTCCATCATCTGTACGGATTTGGTTCCAGTTTAAGGCCTTTTCGATATATGCAGAAATTACTTTGAAATCATCACCAAAGTGATATTTAAGCAGGCGCTTTGCTTCCTCATAGCCAGTTGTGGCGTTCATGAGAAAGCAGCTTTGGACTAGCTCCTTTGGCTGTCCAACAGTATACTGTTCCAGAAAGTATAGTCGATCCTCATTACTGTTGGTTTTATCCTCGATGTTGTGCTTAAAAGCCTTCATAAATGATCTGAAAGTGAGAGGATCGCCGTCAAACATCGGCACCTCTCTTTGGGGGAGTTTAGACTCTTTCTGCTGTATCACTAGCAAGTCTGTCAAGTCTGTCTGTCTTTGTAGAATGTTTGTGAGATCTATGCTCTGAGGTGTTTCACTTCTGGGTGTGGCTTCGCCTCTTCCGCGTGGTCCGTCAGAAACCACAGCTCTGTGTGTGTGAGGGTTTGCTGTCGCCCTTGGTGGTTGCTCAGGTCCTTTTGAGATTCCAGTCAATGTTGGATTCAGAGTATGCATTATTCCTTGGAAGGATCTTTTCGGTACGGTTCCTATCCGTGCAGACTCCATTTGTGTTAGATCTCCTCTTTTGTCAGATGCCTCTATCTGTTCTTCCATTTCTTTTCCGGATTCTGATGCTTCATCACTTTCGAATTCTTCTAGAGCCTTTAACCTTGCATCAGCTGCAGCAATATCTGCTTCCAGATCCAGGGATTCCATTTTTAACCCCAGCTCAAGCTTTTCCTTTTCCAGTTCGTGTTTCCTTTTCAGAGCTTTAGCTCTGGCCTGCAGAGCAGCTTTGTCTGCAGCTATCTTCATGCGTGCTGAAACCATAGATGAAGAATTGGAACCTCTGGAGCGTCGTGAGCCAGTTTGTGAGACGCTGTCCCCAACATCCACCAGAGTATGTGGGTCGGCCTGAGCACTTTTCCATTGATCCAAATCGGTCAGAAAAACGTCATAATCTGCGATTTTTGGCTTAATGTTTGATCGTAACCAGGTTCGGAAAACAGCGCATATGCTCGTTTACTCACGGTACCGGTGAGATCGGATTCTGGCCGCAGTCCAGATCAATCCAAGACGACGTGACTCCGGGACAGCTTCGCTCAATTCCACCTGGCCTGGCGTTCCTTCCTCGCGTTCGGATGAGGTATTTTTGACTTGTTGTAGGAGCGGTCAGTAAAATCAACGCGCATTTGCTCGTATTGTCACTTCAAAATTCTTTATTCATTGTTCGGCAAAAACAACCTAAATCACAATCAAAATAAAAGGAGAATTCAATGCGTAATGCGGTCAAAAATAATATCTCCTTCCGCTCTCGAAATAGAAAAAACACACCTGGCCTTACTCAGGTGACATTCAAATAGCCGACGCCCCCTGACGTCATCATTACATCATCACAAATCAATCAAATCAACAGAAAAGGCAGTTTCATTATGCACGATACAAATGTAGTGGAATGGCTTCTACACATTTTATAACAGTAGAAATTTTAATTTTTTGCCACTTCAATCGCCTGCACCTTGTTTCCTGTCATTTTAATTTGAACTTTTATCACGGGTTCAATCATGACAAGTTCGATTGGCTCCCACAATCTCTCCTCAATTAAGACGGTACGGCCATCTTCTAGGAGAAGGTTGAGGTTCCCCGGATCTCCCTCAATCTCCATCACCCCGAGTGCCCCCACGATGTCCTCTGAGCGTACCTCCTGTTGAGAGAAAAGTAGACATTATCCCGCTGTCAGCCACAATCCAGAGCAATCATTATCGTTTTTAAGCAGGCTAAAAAAATAACCCCAGCATGGAGGCATTGCATTATAATTTATTCAACTTTTTTTTAAATAGCCACTTCAAATTTAACATAACATCACCCAATCAAACTTTGCTGTTGAAGCCAGATAGTGTAAATATTGTCTAAAAAGTGAATGTTTGTTTCAATTTCATAAAAAAACAAGTAGGCCTAGCTCGATGGTGGAAAAGTTTGTGGACTGGAGTCTGAGCCCATAGTTAGACCTCCCAGCTTTAAGATGGGAAACTTTAATGTGGGCCCCCACCTGCAGCTGCCATACGGCCGCCTCCCTCCAGAAACACAGCGACATTTGTGATTCCCCCTGTAGAAGGTAATGTGAAATAATATTTTAATTACTTTAATTCTCTCTTTCTCTCTCTCTCTCTCTCTATATAGATTATATATATTTATATTTATATAATATATATATATATATATATATATATATATATAAATATATATATATATATATATATGTGTCTGAGGACTCGTATAAAGGCAAATCACTGTCAAAATAAATCCATATCAGACATTCGCGGGCAAAAGTCCATCTCGCGCAGCAAAAGTTGGCGAATGTTTCATGTGTGCGCGAGCATGGATTTTTGCCCGCAAATGTTTGATATGGATTTGGATTTTTGACAGTTGTTTGCCTTCATACGATATATGTAGCGTAATTACTCAGCTATCTAAATTAATAAATGTATTTTATTATATATATGTATGTATGAATGAAGTGGACTGCCTACCTGCTGCATCGTGACGTTGCGCAATGGAACGACGTCTCTCCCTGTGATTTCTTTTAAAGCTGACAGCTGAACAAAATGGATCTTTCAGTTAATTGACATTTTATACCAATTTGCAGCTAATATTAAACCTGTTTCCTTTTTAAACCACCGTAGGCTGAAACTTAATTTACCTCGACCACCTCGCCCTCCACGGTTATCAGGCCCCTGGCATCCCGGCAGGTGCTCAGCGGAGTCAGTGGAGAGGGGGGGTGTATTAGAAGCTCTGCTTCAAGTTTGAGCGCTGCACTGAGCGCTATAGGAGCGCTCCTAAAGAACAGCGTGTCCTTAGCTATATTTAATTGATATGGGGGGGACTGCCCTCTCAGGGACAGCCCCTTTACATTATAACTCCCACCATCCTTAAATCTTTTTCCAAACTCCTCGAATACAGTGACTTTGGCCACTGAATCCCCATCTGTTAGTGCGGCCAGAATATTCATTTTTGTCTGTGCTGGTCTCGCACCATTTGAGTCAAACTCCCAGGCCACCACCCTGGGCTGCTCCACCACCAACACCACACATAGGTGGATTGGCGCGGGGCGAAAATAGGGTGTTGGAGGCTTTGTTGTCAAAAGCGTCTTTAAGGCCATTCTGAAATATTAAAATAAACACAAAGCATTAAGAAAAAGCTATGTAGTAGGTTAGTACACATTATTTTCTAAAACGTTTCTTTTATTTCATATTGTGTTGCTTCATTAGTATATGGTTATCACAAACGTATAAGGTTAATATATTGTATTAAAGAGAGCATTACGTTGGCCTAAAACGCTAAACTGCATTAAAAAATTGATGACCACTATTTGGAAATCGCTTTTGCTAACCAAGATACTCTATCTAACCGCTAGCTTAAACATTTCAAACAACTCTAGTCACTTAATTGTTTCTTTTGTTAAAAAGGGTTATACTTATAGGGTTATACAATATAAATATAAATACTCAATTCATGTCAGTTGTTCTTCATATTCTTCATTTTCTTATCTCATTTAGAGAGGAACAAACTTACTTCTCTGTCAGCTTTCACAGGACTGAGGCAAATCACCGAGACGGACTTTTGCCCGCGAATTTTTTATATGGATTTTTGACAGTGATTTTGACAGTGATGAGTTCAAAAGCGCTCCGATGATGTCGGATATAATGGCTGCTGACGTAAGTGTTTGCCTGATACACCGCGTAGGAGCTTAATGTTGCTATTTCCAAAACTAGATTTAGCAAGGTAATAGTGTCACGAATTAGTCTCGTATTATGTACTAAAAAAGCATTAGTGAATTCATATTATGCCTTAGGAAAACATTACTTAATCAACTTTTCACATTTGAAGAATTAACCACATGTATTGACCATATCTTGTTGTCAATTTATCAGCTTATACTATAGTATCTCGCTGATGATACGAATGCTCTTAAAGGACAACTATAGATTTCATAAAATGCATTATGACAGCTGAGGAATTAAGCTTTGAGGTTTGTTTGGTACAGTTTCTATCGAACCCGGAATTTTGAGAGCGTAATGCCCAAATGTTCCTGAATGCATCAATCAAATCTAACGTCACATCAACGCATCTCCGTCAAATTCCTCTGAAGTCTTGACCGGTAAGTACCGCTAAGCCGCGGGTCTAAGGGCTCATAGTTTGGATGGTGTAATGACAGTTATATAGCTGTGAAACGGCGTTGTCGTCCGTTTGTAACCCGTGCAGTATGTGTACACTAATGAAAGAGTGAAATATTCCCTGTGTATGACAACGCCAAAACGTAGCTAACAATAACATAGCCGCTAAGCTAGCGGCACATTAGTATGACAAATATGTAACGGTATTAAGTTATGTGCTGAACTGGCATAAACTGGTTAGTTGGGTAACTAACTTGGTTAGTTAACTAACGTTTCAGTTAATTCATTTGTGTGCCGTATGAGGGAAATTTTAGTCTATTAGTGTCATAGTTCATTATAAGGAAGGAAGCGATTTAAATTCATTCGTAACGTTTATTAAGCAATAAGGTACAAGAGGCTGTACATAAAGTACTGCCTCGAGTACCTCATTGCTGATAACGGTCGGTCAAACCGTTACTCTTAGTGCGCAGTGATATGGAACAAGAACTGTACATCGCTGACTCACGGTCAACCAATCAGAGCGCTGCATTTCATCTACAGTATTATAACACGAGATAATGCTGACTTAAAGTATGTTCATTGACAAATTGGTTAAAATTGCAAGGGTTTTGTCAGTTTGTGTTGACTAGTTTGTTGGCATTAGCTACTAGTTAGCTGGTTAGCGTTACTTTACTCGCTGCCAAATTAGTCAGCCAGCTGATGAAATTGCCACGTCAGCCTATTTTTAGCATTAGGCCTACGTAGAAGTTAGCATGTGGTAACCACGGGAATATTTCACTCCTCCATTCATGTCTGAATTATGGATAAGTTACAAATCCAATGTCAATACCATTTAATGTAGTTTGTCTTTTGAGAAACATAAATAACTAACGTTAATGTTAATTAACTATGTTGGTAATATGGAACAGCCGTAATCTACTTCTCTCTGTATGTAATAATTTCCTATGGTGTTTTGTTTAAAGGCTGAAAGTTTGAACCTTCTTAATGTCAGTTTGTCATATTGTTTCCTCTCTTAGACAACAGAGCATCCTCCTTATCTGCATTGTGTTTGGTAAATTAAAAATAATGTAACAGAAATAGCTAACACTACGACACAACTATACTGCATACGTATATGACATACGTAGATCTTTTCAATTTATTAAAAAGAACATTTACATTGTATTTTGTGGATGGTTGCCACATATCATTTTTGAAATTGTTGATGTATTTTTTGTTTGTGTTTCTTTATCAGTTGAATAGTTAATACTTGAAATGGGAAACGTTTTTAATAGTCTATATTGCAAGATAATGTCAGCAAATGTCTTTGTTTATTTTTATTGAGGAATTAAGCGATTAAAAGATATTACGTTTGAGAGCCATTTTAATTATTAAAGTCCCCGAGAGGCATTAACACATATTGAAATAATATATTCAATATGTATGTTCATTATTTGTTGTCTTGTTGACATCAGTCAGTATTGCCACAAATCTGCCACACTGCAATGAATATTTATATTCTTTATATTACTTTTGTGAAAATTGTGATTTTTCAATGAGACAAAAATGATCAATAAGGAAATACATTGAAAGTACATTTTAAATAAACTGAACTGAAAATGTCTCCTTTTCTCTCCCTCTCTTCATCCGTCACCCTCCTCCTCCTCCTGCCGACTCGCCTTTTCTATCTTGAACGGCAGACCATAACGGCTGGTGACTCTAAAGTGCAAGTTCACACATCAATTCAGATATTGCTGTAAGTAAACTCCAGCCCCCCGCGACCCTGTGTGCAGGATAAGCGGTTTGACAATGGATGGATAGTTTAGAGTTTAGTATGCCTTCTCATCATAATAATCTGTCTCGAAACCCTCATTGAGTTCTCTTTCCTTCTGCCTCCTCTTCCCTGTCTAACTGCAGCCTGCCAGTGTTGGTGACTCCTTGGATATTTGACAGTAAGTTCTCACATATCATTGACAACTGAATGCAGTTTCTTAAAACATTTAGTTGTAATGAATCACTGATGGCCGAGCTGCATTGCCTGTGTGAGCAGCATGCGTGTGTTGCTCAACCTCTTGGTTTTATTTTCGGCACGTATGTTAGCAGCTTTGTGTCAGCTGTGTCTTCTTTGAGGGCTGTTGTTACTCTGGTGCTCTCTGCCCCGCTGCTGCGAGTGCCACACGGAAATATTCGCAACATAGTAATGTCAGTGTGGGACTGCTGTGCGTAGAAAAATAAATAAATAATAATATATATACATTTTTAAATGGCACACTTTTTCAGGGGAGGGTGGAGTTATTTCAGGGGGGAGGCGCGCCCCCCTCTTATAATGGTAGGGGAAACACTGTATTGTGTTACGGGTTCTGCTTGGTTCACAGAGCGTAAAAAAATATTCTCAGGGCTTTACAATGTGTGCACTTACAGCATCACGGGAGCCCCACATCGGCTCAGGAATCATTGTTGACAGTTGATGTACAACCAACAGCTTTAGCCTTCTACAGTTTTGATGTCCCTCCGTCAACATTTTCCAGGAGAATAGTCTATAATTAATTAAATCAACACTCAATAAGTGCCTGCCAGCATATATATGTTACGGTTAGATGACACCTTCAATGATCCAGTGGTGGTAGAAGATTGTCTAACGGATGTTTTTCGCGTGTCTTGCAGGTGTCCTGCTGTCCAGCATCTCTCCCCCCTATCCCTATCTTTGTATCCCTCTTCTATCCCACTCTATCTGTATACGGAAGCCTGAAAACCCTGATATTCTGAAACCTGAACCCTGAACCCTGAAACCTGAACCTAAGGTTATTGCAACCTGTCTGAACAGAACTCTGAGAGTATCTCCACTCTTCCGCTCTCTGTCTCTCCTCTGAACACTCACTCACCCGGGTTATTGGTACCTGATCTACCTTTTTGAATGATCTGAGAGATTCTCTTCTCTCACTCTCACCTCTCTCCTATCAACTCCTATATTTATACAATACTATTACTATTACTGTTACTAATTTGACAAAACATTTGAAATTTACTATTAATGAGATTAACAAAATTGGCCTGAACAAAGAATTGAAAAGTTAATTCAGAAGCTGAAAAAAAGTACAAATCTTTTGTTATAATTGAAAAAACTACACCTTGATCCAAAGAATTGGATTGTAAAAAAAAGTACTGTTTATAATTGAATCAGGTAGATTTCCTGATACACTATTTGCAAAAGTGCATTGAATTAACATAATTAAAGACAACTGCACTCTGATACATAATAAAATACATAACTATTACAAATCCATATTAGAGAAGTGTATTTGCTCCTGATCGCTGTTGCTGTGGACCTCTGTTGGTTTGTACTCAAAGGTTTGTTTTGTGAGCAAACACTGTTGTTAACTTGATTAGTCTACGTACAAGGAAAAATAATCCCGCTACATGCATTGAATCAATTATACCTAATTAATGAATACATAATTTTTTCTTATAAACTTACATTGTGCATATCAGTGTTTTGTTGTTTATACTGAAATAAAACACAGACGTCAACCAGGAAGAAGTGGATTCATCAGGAGTGGCTGTTTCCTGCTGATCCAACGTTCTTCAGAAGTATCCATCTGTCATCACACTCCCACAACAACTGCTCCTGAATATAAACAATAGCCTAATAAAGTATTAAGATCATTTCTACCAGTAAATTTAGCCATTTGAAATCTGAAGGGCCCTTTGAGTCAACTGGTTCCAAGTTGTGTGTTTGTGGTAGACTTCAGTTTTTACATTGATTATATATTTCCACAGACAAGTCAAGGTCTCAGTAAGCAATATCTCTTACATATTAAATACCATCGGTCACTTTAGTACATGGTACTTACGCAGACAGACATACTAAGACCTGATTGCAGTATTAAAATCTAGAAGTGCTTTGTCTAGACCCTCATATATTAGAATACGTCAGGTGGATAATTTCGTTGTGTTTTTTATTAAAACTATAAAATAATCCTTCAGGTTGCTGTCACTGAATTTGACGTTCAAATATAATATATTTATCTATATTGATAAGTGTTATTTATTCATGTTTTGAAAAGCGTAAGCCCAAACTGAGTTAATTTTTCATTCATAAGTGTTTTTGATTTATAGCAGCAAGCAGGTTTAATCCATCTTCAAATCCTTGTTTGTTAAAAGTAATATTTTACTTATTGCATTTAATATCTTGGTTTTGTACAACATTTGTGGTTTTGAAACATCAACAATGCCAAGGAAGAGTAAGAGGTCACAAGCTCAGAGCCTGCACTGGCAGCGGCCCAATGAGAATCCCTGTGCAACAACGACTGAAGGAGCAGAATGTGTTGGTCCTGAGAGCAGTGGAGAGGTTTGGATGTCTGCAGAGTGTAAACGTGTGGAGCAGGAAGGTCAGCCTGATGCTTCATGTGCATCACCACCATCTTATGCAGATGCTGTAAAGAGAGGACAGCACAGTGATGATCCATGTGTAGCAGGACCTTCTAATGTGGACCAGGTGAACCAGAGATGTCAGCCTGATGCTTCATTCATACCACAGGTTTCAGATACTATAAAGAGAGGACAAGCCAGTAAAGAACCATGTGCAGCAGGACCTTCTAATGCAGACCATGTAGACCCTGGAGATCAGCCTTCTGAACAACATGTCCGTGCATCCCACAGCCAGGCTTCCATCAGATACGGCAGATCCAGAAATCGGCAGTGCACCTGTAACTCACTGACTTTTCTTGCATTCCTCCATGAGAATGAAAGCATCACCAGAGCAGACCTGGACCATGTTTTGGATAAAGGTAACACGATGTATAGAGAGACCAGGAAACAAGTCACTAATCACATCTATCTGACCACTGACGAGCTCACTGATGAAGTTTCTGCATGCAGCGCTACACACCATGCAGACATGACTCAGCTTTCAAGGTACGGCACATTAGGAGAACCTTTACCTGGAGCTGTGGATAGCTTTCTGGACCTGGAGTCAGGACTCAGCTGCTTGTTGTCAGATGTGAAGTACGCTCTGCTGTTGATGAGCCAGAGGTTTGCCCCTACCAGCCGGTTCACGCACACCAGGTACTGCTGTCATGGTGACATTCTCACGTCTCAGTGACATGATTGACAGGCTCAAGAAGTCCCACAGAATGATGGACACACAGTCCTCCTGTAACTATGAGTTGAAGCCTGTGGAGTTCTACAACATGAACACAGTCAACCTGAACGGTGGTCTCCCAAACACAGACTGCAGACCTACAGCTGTCCCTGTGGAGGAATCAAACTCACCTACAGCCCCTGATCAGACCAGTTCACCTGAAATGACTCCTCACACTCCAGCTGTAAAACAACCAGAGGTCCTCATCACAACATTGTCACATGATGCTCCTCACAATGAATCAGAATCAACAGCTCAAGTGATAAACCCTGTTCTCAGTGATCCATCTGACGACATATTGACAGCAGAGTCCAGTGACATCATCTTCACATCATCGGTGAGACAACAAGAGGTCATAAACTCCAATGAACCAGAACTGTCAAGTCAATCCACTTTCCTTCCATCACATGATAAATATTTCTTCTTCAGTAGCAAATACTGTTGCTGGTGATCTATCTGATGTTCTATTACAGGAAATCAAACTGACAAAGTGTGATAAAAACAAAAGGAGAAAAATGAAGAGAAGACTGATGATCTCAGAGAAAACTCAACAAAGACAAGATATTAAAAAAAGGAAAGAAAGGGAAAAGTATGCTTCAAATAAAGCATTTAAAACAGAATCTCATGCAAAAAGAAAATATCAGAACAACCCTGAATTTAGACAAAAGAAAATCAATAATACAAGAGACAACGTTGACTTTCAACAAAAAGGGAAAGAGTACATTTCAAACAGGTACAGAGAAAATGCTGATTTTAGACAGAAAAAAAAACAAATCTTTGTCTCTCATTACAGAAATAATCCCGATTTTAGACAGAAAAAAAAAAAAACCTTTGTCTCTCGTTACAGAAATAATCCTGAATTTAGACAGAAAAACAAACAAATCTTTGTCTCTCGTTACAGAAATAATCCTGATTTTAGAGAGAAGAAAAAACAGCACTTTACAAACCGCTACCAAGACAATGCTGAGTTTAGAAAGGAAAAAAAACTGTCCTTCACTGCTTTTTATAAAAACAGCATTGATTTTAGACAAAAGAAGAGAGAAAAAGAGAGATCTCATATTATTCAGCGTTACGCTCATGACCAGGTGTTCAGGCTGAGACACAAACAACTAATGAAACAACAAATGAAAGACAGATACAAAAACAATCCTACATAATGGAGTATGCGGAACATGAGATGTGCCATGAAAATAAAAGGAAATACAGAGGGATAAATAAACCAACAGAAGAAAGTGACAACAGTTTGATCGAAGAGGCCATATCTGTTTTCAGGTCACAAATAAAGTCCGGTCCCACTTATGTTTGCACCGTCTGTCACAAAGCAGCATTTCCAAACCAAGTGAAACCCTGTAAAAGGTTAAACTATCTATGAAATCCAGACGTGGTTGCAGCATGCCTGACAGGAAAGTACATCCATGTGTGTGATGACGAGTGCAGAGATGAACAGCGGTGCAATGTGCCTGATGAGAGAAAGGAAGAGTGGATCTGTCACACCTGCCACAATCATATTAAAGATGGAGTCATGCCGACACTCGCTGTAGCCAACAACTTGGAGCTCGCTGACATTCCACCTGAACTGTGTGACCTCAACATATTGGAGAGACATCTCATAGCCAAGTGCATAGCGTTTGCAAAGATCGTTCCTCTTCCCAAAGGACGCCAGAGAGCGATACATGGCAACGTGGTTTGTGTCCCGTCTGAGGTGCAGGAAACAGTGGGAGCGTTACCCAGACTGAGAAGTGAGTCTCAAGTGATGAGAGTAAAGCTGAAGAGACGATTGTGTTACAGAGGACATCAGCTGTTCCAGACTGTCACCTGGTCTAAACTAGTGCAGGCGCTGCATAAACTCAAACGCATTCATCCACAGTATCAGGACATCACTATCAGAGATGAGGCCGAGCTTTGTGACCCAACACTTCCTGATGAAGATGATGAGGATGATGAGGATGCCACTATGGATGACAACGACTATGATGATGCTGATTTAAAGGAAATTGACATGTGTGAGATATGTGCACTGTGTGAGACAGAAACTGAGCTTGATGGAGAGCAGGATGTTGACATGTTGTCTTGTGATGGTGAACAACCAGAGCAGCAAAGAGATGATGAAGAACAGGAAGGTGAAATGCCTAACGGTGGTTTTGCTCTAGAATCATGTCTTCAGCCGTGTGATGTTTCAGAGGAGATCTTATGTTTCAGTGAAGGAATCTACTCTGTTGCCCCTGCAGAAAGTAACAGTCCAGTTGGTTTCTTCAAAACTCCTAAACTTGAGGCGATGGCTTTCCCTGTGCAGTTCCCTACAGGCCAAAACACACTGGATGAAGGGAGACGTATGAAAGTAACACCCAGCAGTTATTTCAAAGCGAGGCTTTTCTGTGTTGATGATCGTTTTGCCAGAGATACAAACTACTTGTTCTTTGCTCAGTTTGTGACTGAAATACACTTGGCCACATCCAGCATGACGATACAGTTGAGGAAAGGAAAGCCAATGACTCGAGATGAACGAAAAATAACGTCTGGTATGCTGCAAAACAAACGAGAGGTAGAGAAACTGGTGAGGAACAAAGATGCAGTCAGATTCATGCAGCCGCTGAGAGGAACACCAGCCTTCTGGGAGAAAACCACACGAGACCTTTTTGCCATGATCAGACAGTTGGGAACTCCCACATTCTTTTGTACATTTTCTGCAGCTGAGATGCGTTGGCCTGAAGTGATTGAGGCAATAAAAAGACAACAAGGTGAGGAGGTGAACTTTGAAGGGCTCGACTGGTCAGCAAAGTGTGACATTCTGAGAAGCAATCCTGTGACAACCATGCGCATGTTTGATAAGCGTGTTGAGGCCTTATTCAGAGATGTGCTCTTATCTCCTGCACAGCCTCTTGGCAAAGTCGTTGACTACTTTTACCGAGTTGAGTTTCAGCACAGAGGAAGTCCGCACATTCACTGT